GCGTCACAGCGTAACAGTGTTTCGTGAGATATTGCGAAGCCCGTTAGAGACGTGGTCTAGCGTACATCTACCTAGCTTTTTTATGGATTCCTGGTGGCCGTAGGCCCGTATCTTTGTGTACATTTTTGCACTACCCGACTCGGGTGTCAGCGCCGCAGGCCTAGGTAGATGTATGCCAGGCGCGTCGCAGCGTAACAGTGTTTCGTGAGATATCGCGAAGCCTGTTACGCGAGACGTGGTCTGGCGTACATCTACCTTGTATAAACTACTTGACAGCTCCGAAGGTTAGTGAGATTTGCCTTGTTTGAATCTAGTGAGTTTAGGTGAGTAGGAGTTTAAAGTTCTAGTGTCTAGCATTATCTTCTTTTACTTTCTCAACAAGCAGGCCCACCCTTCCGCCAAACGAAGTTGCCAGCTCCGCTTCGCTCCGCCGGCAACTCCGTTCGGCAGGGGCCGGGCCTGCTTGGCCTGCCGGCGGCGATGGTCGGGCCTGCGGCCCGACCATTTCTGTCACGCGATTTGCTGAAGAACAATACCGAATGATGTAGCGGGCCTTCGGCCCGCTTAACCCCGTCGTCTTTGAGTTTGCCCCAAAGACTCGAGAAAGGGATGTAACGGTGAAGCACCCTGACTACAACCCACCCTTCTGCTTAGAAAACGTTTTTTGGGGGTGGGGGGAGAGTTTCCTTTCAATTTTGCTGATTTTAGGCCTTTTACTACAACTTATTGTTCACTAAGGCAATTTTTAGCTTATTTTCGTCAAAATAAGACCCTGTAGCGCCTAAACGGTTTGAGATAGAGCAAAACGGACGAAATTTTCGCCCATAGGGCTCTACTTTGACGAGTTACCCCTAAGGAGAACATAAAAAAAAATTTACTTTTTGGAAGAATTTTTGAACCTTGGATACCCCCATTCACACCCTTAGGGGTGGTTGCCAGGATTTGCCGTAGGCGTTTCGTTCTCAAGAAGTGGACCTTAAGATCCCCTGAAAATTTCAAGTCTCTAGCACATCTCCTTCTAGTGGAACAGACAGACAGACAGACACACAGACAGACACGAGGTCGTTTGCATAAGCCCGCTAAATAGCTTTTTCAAAGCAGAAGGGCGGGCTAAAAATAGTTAAACTAGTAGAATGTTGTGCATTAAAGGGCTGAGTTCTTGAAAACAATAGACTGTTGCTTAATGCCTAACTTGAACCTTTAATCCTTACTGACTGTAAAAAATAAAAATGATAAAAGGGTGAATTCATTGATTTAAACTAACATTTAGAATAAAACAAACTTTTGATTGCTGAAAGTTGGACTTCAATAAACGATTAATAACCAAAAAGTTAAATTCTGTGACTGTATGTATTATATTTTGTTCTGTTGTTTCTGGTGTTTCCTGCTATATAATATGATGAAGGAAATATCAATAACTTTCAACACTGCTTATTACTTTGCCTTAAGCATTTTATTATTATCCTATAACCCTTCACTATTTACACATAGCTTCATTCTTTTTGAATTAAGTCAGCCGCATTTGTACTTGAGGCCTCAACACCAGATTCAATATGTGGCACCTTCAATGGAGATTTAATACGTGGCACCTTCGCTGGAGATTCAATACTTGGATCCTTGGCTGGAGATTCCATACTCGGCAACTTGGCTGGAGATAGGGATGGGGATCGAATGGCAAAAGATCGATCTCGTGGATCGATCTGAATCGAAGGGGTTCAAACCGTTCCGCCTATTAATCGAGTAAAAAAGATCGATCTCAGCCAGATCGATCTAAATCGAATAATTTTTGTCGAATTCGCCAAATAAGATCACATCCCGTTTAAAAAAGTGAGGTCCCGAATTCAGTCCGAACGGCCGGGCTGTTCCCGGGGTTGTCCGAAGGGAAAGTCCGAAGTACACCCAGAATGTTACAAAATCCGCCAACTTCTGGGTGTTGTCCGAAGGCAGTATTCGGACCGATGTCGGGTTTTCATAGGGCGGGTCCGACCGAAATTTGTCCGAATCTGGTAATCGGACAGACCCGCAAG